CCATCCCACAAAGGAATGTAACACCAATCAATTATGATAAGCAGATCTGGATCTCATGCAGACTTATAAACTCAGGTCACAGATATTCTTTAAATGGTCATAAAACCAAAAAACTCTTATCAAAGTACACATTGAAAAATTGCAATGAAAGCCCATTCATTACAGTATGTTAACATCACAGTCTATGTTTTAAACTGCAATGGCTTAAAGTAGCTGTCTGGAAGCAGAAACACTGTTCTGTATCTGGAATAAGGGGTGCCCTTGTGCCAGCTAGTGAAAATATGTAATATAAGAACAATGGCTCCCTCTGGGGGCAAATCAGTAGTAAAGTGGAATGAATATTGTATACTGAAGCATAATCGAGAAAAAAGATCCAGAACAGACTATACCAATAAAAGCTTCATCATCACTATCTAGAGTCACTGGTGCACCAGGGTCAAGCCGAAGGCTTTGCCTTCAACTTCAAACGCTAACTGCACAGTTTTCTTTCTCCTATAATTGAATGGTTGCCTTTCAGTCTTATGGAGAAAAATGCCACACTTGGGAATATTACTGCAATAAGGGCAACATTTGAGCTGCACCACTGACACTAGATGGTCCAGCTCTCACTTTCAAAAATCCCACAAGGTGTAAAATGTGCATACAAAGATGCATTGTGTTCTCCAGGGTATAAGCTTCCCCTCCATATGCACTACTTATTTATTTAATCGAGTTCTACTATGTATTTTTGTTGTTGTTTTTAGCTGCCTCCAGCAGCAGCTAAAAACAAAAAAATGAAAAATGAAAATGAACAGTTTAAAAATAAAACAAATCCAACACAGCAAAATCAATGCAACAGCAATCAAATCAACCCTGTCAACTGGCTAAAACAGCAGTCAGTGAAGCCAGCAGCCTAAAAACAATTACGACATAAGAACACATCATTAAAAAAAATTACTCAGCAAGGAAAGTAAGCAAGACCAGTAAAACACTAGTAAGTTGGGATAAAAGTTTATTTGAAGGCATGTGTGAATAAGCCCCAGGCAAAAACAATCCTAAAAGCCAATACAATGATGCCAGATGGACTTTAAGAAGAATGGCATTCTGCAGGTGAGCCATCACCACTGAGAAGGCCCTGTTCGTGGTCAGCAGCTGCTATACTTCAGCAAGCAGGGGGCGCTGAGAGTAATGCTTGGGACCAATGTTCCCTCTAAGCTGTGGAGTCTTGTGAGGAAAAATTCTACTTTGTGAGCTGCTGGCATTAAACTTGTGAGCGATTTGGCTGCTGCATTAATTAGTCTGCTCAGGAGCCCTCCTTCCTGAGCTGAGACAAAAATGTGTGAGCCGGAGGCTAAAAAACTGTGAGCTGGCTCACACTGACTCAGCTTAGAGGGAACACTGCTTGGGACCAACAACTTAACTGCCAAGCCTGACAACAGGGGAGAAGGTGATCCATGCTGCCATGCTAGTTATAAGAAACAGATAACAGAATCTCACCAAGACAGCTCTTATTTAGAAAACCTTTTTAAAAAATCTACCAAATGACAGCACAATTATTGGAAAGAAAAATACACCTGGGTAAAATATTTTAATTTCCATACTCCTCTGGCTATAAGTGCACCTTACAGAGGTCTGGAAAAGAAGGAAGTGGTTTTGTGGTTAAGTTTCAAGATGAGAAAGCGTTATATGACTGGGGTTGGGGTTGGTAACAAGCTTACAAAACCATTTGGAGTGACAACACCACAGGGCATTGTTCAGCAATGCCTGAGACACAGTATTAATGAACACAGAAAAAATATCTTTGAAAACCAGCTTTAAGCCCAGGAGTTGCCAATTTGCTCTGCGTACATGATAGCATCAAAACACATTACGCTCTCGAGGGCCACTGTCAATCCACACATTTCAGGTGCCTGTAATTTATTGCTACCAGGGTCATATTTTCATGAACAGGACATGTCAAAGTACAGTCAAAGGGGAGGAAAAACCCCAGCTCCAGTCTAACAGGGACAAATGTTAGCGGCTCTGCATTTGTCTGTCTCCCAATCTAATGTCAGCTTGGACAGCACCGAGCATTTTCAGTGCAATCCTAGGGAGAGTGACTCCAGTCTAAGCCCAGTCACTGTTTCCTCTAAGCTGTGGAATCTTCTGAGCAAGAATTCTACTTTGTGAGCTGCTGGCATTAAAGCTGTGAGCAAACAATTTGGCTACTACATAAATTAGTTTGCTCTGGACCCATCCTTCCTGAGCTAAGACAAAAATGTCTGAGCTGGAGGCTAAAAAACTGTGAGCTAGCTCACACTAACTCAGCTTAGAGGAAACACTGGTTTACACTGGAGTAACTCTCCCTAGGATTGCACTGTTAGTGTGTTTTCTGGAAGAAGAGCGGGAACTAGAGCCTGGTTTTGGTTCCCCCTTTCTCAAACTTCTGATTGTCATTTTGAAATATCAGAATGCCAGCCATTTTGTCAGCAGGTAGGATTCCGAATCCCATCAGAAGTCTAAACGTTTTAGAAAACTTGGTATGCATCTAGCCAGCCTGTGCCTATCTGCCAGCTGAGACTGTCAGCATCCCCTGTTCTGAAGGGAGAGAAGGCTGAGCCCAGGCTCACAGTTCACAATGCACTGATGGCAACTCTGCAATCTGTACACAGGGGATACGTTGCCCTAACTGGGAAAAGGAGTACGCATGTTGTGGCTTCTAGGAGACCAACTGGTTTGGTGATATGGGCATTTGTAAAAACTAGGACTCAGTGCAGAATTTTATTTATTTTATTACATTTATATCCCGCAGGGCCAGAGCGGGTTCCAGACAAACCGATCTGCTTCCATCTCCCTCAATGCAGAACTCTGAGGTTCCTAGCTACACATCTGCTTTACAAAACCATCTCTCATTCATACAAAGCAATGCATGCACAGAAAACCAGTTAAAACAGAGGCAGGATCTGGAAACGTTTGTTAGCTTTAATAAGCTGCTTTTAATAAGTTGCTCTTTTTCTCTCCTCTAGTCTTTCAAGTTTTCACAAAGATGATATTCAAGCTGAAAAGGGTTTTGTGGATTTCTTTTCCCCCTCTGAAGCATACATTTTGCACTGGGAAATGTTACTAAAAGTCTTGCTAAAGAGCACAAATAAGCCATATTTGGCATTCTGAATTACAGGTCTGGTGTAGTGGTTAAGTGCGCGGACTCTAATCTGGGAGTACCGGGTTTGATTCCCCACTCCTCCACTTGCAGCTGCTGGATGACCTTGGGCAAGCCATAGTTCTGTCAGAGCTGTCCTTGAAAGAGCAGTTCTCGAAAGAGCTCTCTCAGCCCCACCTACCTCACAGGGTGTCTGTTGTGGGAAGGGGAAGGGAAAGGAGTTTGTAAACCGCTCTGAGGCTCTGAGTGAAGGGCAGGGTATAAATCCAATCTCTTCTTCTTCCCCTAACAGATTAGAGTGGTTTAGGAAACCATTTGAAGCATTTCATTGAAACACTTTCAAATAAGCCACTAGAGGTCTCTCTAAACCAAACAATTACACATTTGGATTGTAAAAGAACTGTTTCTCTGTATTCTATAAGAGAGAGAGAGAGAGACAGACAGACAGACAGTGACAGTGTTGGTGTGCTGGCAAACAACAGGAGAAGGGAGATGAGAGTTGTATGTGGCCAGATGTGCTGATACCAAAAGGTGAACTCTGGTGGCACAATCAACACCTCAGCTGTTCCCTTCAGGTCTGAGAGACAATGGTGAGCCTGTTGCCTTCTCCCACCCTTCTGTCACTCAGAGGCTCATTTCAGTTGCTTGGGCAGAGAACCAGTCCCACATCTGAGACCCAGTGTGGTGTAGTGGTTAGAGTGTTGGACTAGCGTCTGGAGATCCAGGTTTGAATCCCCACTCCGCCATGGAAGCTTGCCAGGTGACCATGGGCCAGCCACACACTCTCAGCCTAACCTACCTCACAGGGTTGTTGTGAGGATGAAAGGGAGGAGAGGAGAATGATGTAAGCTGCTGTGGGTCCCCATCGGCGAGAAAGATGAAACAGACAATTAAGTAAATAAAAATAAAATCTTCCAAGCATAATGACCCAGCACATCATTGTTCTCAGCATGCATACCAAGGCATGGCCTAGCCCACTTCTCTGCACTCTATTTTAATTATTTGTACAACTCTGTTGTAACATGTGACAACGAAGCAAATATAACACCTCCAAACCCTAAGAATTTTTTTAAAAACCCTGTGACATCACAGTAGAGAACAAACCCTATGCCTAGGAAATATTTTGTTCCCAAATATCAAACTTTAGTGAAGGGAAATAGTCACTTCATGCAAGAAATTGCCTGAATCTTGCATATAGTTTTTCCTGTGTGCTAAACATAATGCCACCTTAAGGCCAAAGAGACTAGATGAGAGATACAGATTTTGAATAAATCAACACAGTTTAAATAAGACCGTAGAGAATTTCAGTAACTGTGATGTTGGAAAAAACCACCCTGCACGATGTTTCCCTCAGAAGTAAGACAGATTGTTAGTGGACAGAACTTGAACCCAGGTCTCTAACGCTCAAGTCCAGCTCTCCCTCAAATGATCTTTCCCTCACTACATTAACAAAGACTGTTTCAATAGTAGAACCAAACAAAATATCACAAAGAAGGGAGCAAACTCTCAAGTCTCTCCGCTTCTTTTTTCACCCAGCCTTTTTCAATGGGGAACCAAAGCAGCATACATAGCTCTCCTCACCTCCATGTTATTCTCACAAAAGTCTTGTGATGTACGTTAGGCTAACTGTGAGCGGCCCAAGGTCACCCATTCTCAGATATTCAAATCAACAGGAAAGAAAGATATTTGAGAACACAGCAAAGCCACAAATCTATATATATAAAATCAAGCCATTTCATATTGAAACTGCAATCACGCGGTATAGCAGGCTCACTTCACATTAATTCTCAGGAGCCTGGGGGGTGGGGAGAAAGAGTCCGGAGGGTCTCTTCCTCCCGCCCAGTTCTGCCATCCATCCTTCCTGCCCCCTGCCGCCGCCTACCTGGTACCTGCCGGTGAGCAGCTGGCTGCGGGACGGGGTGCAGAGAGGCTGCGTGTAGTAGCGCTCCAGGCGCACCCCGCTGGCTCCCAGTGCGTCGAGGGTCGGCGTGCGGATCTCCGAGCCGTGCCAGCCCACGTCGTTCCAGCCCAGGTCATCGGCCAGCACCAGCACCAAGTGCGGCGGCCTTGGCGGCACCTGGCTGAGGCACGAGCGCGCGCAGAGCAGCACCTGCAGCAGCAGAGCAAGGGGCCCCGCGGCGCCCAAGCGCTTCGGCATCGCTGCCCGCCAGTCAGACCGCCAGCCCCAGCAGGAACTGCTGGCCCGGGAAGGAGGGCCGAGGACCGCCCCGCGAGGAGGCGAGCCCGCCTCGGAAAGCAACAGTCCGCGGTTCGTCCCATGCCCCGGAAAGCCAAGCCGCGCCTCCCGCTCCACCCACCGGGGAGGAAAAGAAACCGGAACTCGAAGCTCTCCCGCTTTGCTCCAGCTGACTCTCCGAATAGCGGTGAAAGGACATGCAAAGGGACTGGAAGGGCCTCGGTTAGTTGGTTAGCGGCACGTTCGTAGGAGGAGAGGGCCGTTAAGGTTGCTGCAGTATCAAGGGTGAAGAGGTACAACTTTTCTCCAGAAAATGGGCCGTTTGTTTTTCCATGCTAGATCACATCTTTGCACTTCAAGCCACAGAATCCCGAATAACTACCATTCCCCGGCTTGGCGCACATTTTCAAACGCAAATCAGAATTTCTTCACCCATAAACACGTGCCTACTATTTAGCTTCATCTTCAGCCTATCAAAAGGCTGAGCGACATCTAATTCAGGTTAAACTATTTTAAGTAATGATGTATCCCCTGCTCTGATGCTGGTCTAGTAATATTTAGCATTTGTGTAATTCTTTCAGCTTTTGGAGTTTTCACATACATTAGCTTATTAAAGGACTTCTGTAAGGTAGGACAGTGTTATTGTCCCTAAATTGCCACTGTGGGGTATCTAAAGGTGTGTAGTAGCTGGTCAGGACTGTAAATTTATGGCAGAGGTGAGATTTTGACCATACACCACATGTTCTTGTGTAGCTGCTCCAGGGCACCTGCCTACTGCATGCCAGCCCTCCTAGCTTCTTCCCTGATGAGTCTAGGCATGCCTCATTCAGGTTTGGCCACTGTTGCTCCAGGGGAAATAAAGAGTAGGGCTTCCTGTTAACACCTGAAAGAGCAAAAAGTGTGAGGCCACTATTTTTAAAATTGTCCATCAAAATATGCCAACAAATATGGAAAACAAAATAATGGCCCACAGACTGGAAACAATTGACATTCCAATTCAAAAAAAGGAGATGTCAAAGACTGCAGCAACTATCAGACCACAACTATTGCACTAATTTCTCAAGCGTGAAAAGTGATTCTCAAAATCTTACAACAAAGACTATTACCTTACATGGAATGAGAAATGGCAGATGTTCAAGCTGTATTCAGAAAAGCAAGAGGCACTAGAGATCATATTGCAAATTTACTTTGGTTACTGCTGGAACATACAAGAAAATGTCAGAAGAAAATCAGCTTGTGTTAGGTTACTGCAAAGCTTTTGACTGTGTGGATCAGGAAAAGCTATGGCTGGTTTTAAAATAAATCAGTGGGCTACTAATATCCTTTGGTCACATTGTGAGAAGAGAAGACTCACTGGAAAAGACAGTAATACTAGGAAACGTTGATGGCAGCAGGAAAAGAGGAAGACCCAACCTGGAATGGATTGCCTCTATCAAGGAAGACACGGTCCTCAGTTTGCAAGAGCTGAGCAAGGCTATTAACAATGGGACATTCTGGAGGTCATTAATTCATAGGGTCACCATTAGATGGAAGCAACTTGACAGCACTTCACACACACATACACACACACTTGTTTTAAACTAACAACATATACCAAATAAATGAGTTTGAAGGGAAAGTATTAAGTTCTTTTTAAAATAACTGGCATATTACTCTGATACAATTAAGTAAATGTAGGCCCCGTTCACACGGAGCATTTGCCCCGCTGAAGGCACGGGAGTCCCGCGGATTTTCCGGGCGCGATCACACTGCAACATATGGGAAGCGCAATGCTCCCGCAGCGAACCCGTGGCTTCCCGCCGAAGATGCGGCTTAAAAATCTAGTACTTACGAGGTACTAGTTTCCGGAAACCGCAGGCCAGGTGCGGGCGTCTGATTGCGTTTCTGGTGGAATTACGTGGCATCCGGTGCCTGCCAATGTTCGTCGCAAACGGGGGGGTTTCTCCCAAGTCTCCGAAGGATGCGCAAAAGCGCCCAACAGCACATGCACACAAAGAGCAATTGCTAGTGTGATCGCGTGGCTTCTTTGAGTTTGAGAGAGGGCCACGGGAGGCTGTGATGGGGGTTAGCAGCAGAGGCCAGGCTGAGACCGGGCCGCGTGTCCGAGGGAGGGCTGCTGGTGGGGAGGGGGGATCTGGCGGGTTAATCTCCCACTCCCCTCCTTGCAAGCAGAACACGGATCCCGCCCGGAGTGGGCCACGTGAGACCCTCCCAGAGGCCGCGGCTCTTTCCTTTCCCTTTCTCATCGGCCTGGCTGCTCTCAGTGGAGGTGCAGGATGCTCGTGTGATCGGCATCTCCCCCCTGACCACGGGACCTCAACCGGGACGTGTGATCAGGTGGCCGTGTGTTATTTTCCTCCGGGGCAAACAGCCACGCTCCCCCCCCGCATTTTCCTGCCTGTGTGACCGCCGCCGTAATAGGTCAGAGACATGATACTGGGCAAGACATGAGCAGGTAGTTATAGGAGGTAAACTAGTGAGAAATCCAGGAATATTGTAAGGAAATAATAAAGATATCAGACATGTAATTCCATCTCCCATACTGATATCTCCATTGTTGTAGGGCGGGGGTAAAAAACAGTCTGAGGCATATTGCCTGAAGCAGGGATTCTTTAGGGGATTTGAAGAAGAAGAGGAGGAGATTGGATTTATACCCCGCCCTTCACTACCCAAAGGAGTCTCAGAGCGGCTTACAAACTCCTTCCCCTTCCCCTCCCCACAACAGACACCCTGTGAGGTAGTTGGGGCTGAGAGAGCTCATGACAGAAACTGCTCTTTTTTCAAGAACAGCTCTTATCAGAACTACGGCTTGCCCAAGGTCATCCAGCCAGGTGCAAGTGGAGGAGTGGGGAATCAAACCCGGTTCTCCCAGATTAGAGTCCGCGCACTTAACCACTACACCAAACTGGCTCTTTGAGTAGTCAAGAAACCTCACCCAGGATATCCTTACAACATAAACAGGCTTTAATTTTTTTTAAAAAGACCTCCCCCCCCCATAAACAGAGAGCAGCTTTTTGCTTCCCAATTAGCTGCTGGGGCCTTCCTATAGCAACAGACACACTCCTGAGTATGGTGATTCCCCGACAGCTTCTGATTTCCAATGAAGTCCACGCTCTTCCTCTTCCTTTTTGATGCTCTTCAGCCTGTTAGGTGCTGCCTCCCTGGACAAGCAGACCTGGCAATCTGCTGAGTCCTGCTGGCTTGGAGCTAATGTCTGCAGCTGGTGCTTATCTAACAAGAAATAATCCTGTAGCTACTTTGGTTATGGAACCTAGCTGCCAACATACCTGAAGCCAGAATAAAGTTTCTTGACCACACCATCCCTACTTGTCCTCAGCGAGGTGCACCTCTTTTTCTACAAAATGACCCCTGCTCATTACTCACCAGAAGGAATGAAATGTTGAAGAAGGGTGAAAGCTAAATAATAAAAGGGGATTTGTCTGCTCAATCTCCAAAAAGCTTTATGGTATGCCAGAGGTTATACAGCAAGGGTGTCGAACTCATTTGTTATGAGGGCCGGATCTGACATAAATGATACCTCGTTGGGCTGGGCCATGTGTGTCATAAAAGGTAATGCCAGGTAGCAGAGATATACATTTTATAAAGGACACAAACACAAAGGTTTTTTTTTTACTTAAAATAAAAACATGCTTAAAACATTAGCACTCTTGCAATATTTTGTTTATTTAACCATGTCTGATAACTGACACCTCTTGCTCTGAATTAATGCATCAAAATGTCTGTGCTGTTGCAATCTTGAGCACGCTATTCAGGTGTGTATCTGTAAGCTGCAAACCTATGATGACACAGCAGCAGCAGAACTGGAAGAATAAGCAGAAGACAGCCAGTTGCACTGTGGGCCTGATAGAAGCCCTCTGGGGGCCTGATCTGGCCCCTGGGTTGCATGTTTGACACCCCTGTTATACAGTATATGATTGATTCTGGAAAGGGCAGCCATGAAGGAGCAAGAAAAGATTCTTAGTGTAAGGATGTGCCACTAGTCACCAAGATCAACATAATTCATGCCATAGTATTCCCCATAACAATGTATAGGTTTGAAAGTTGGACAATTAAGAAAGCTGATAGGAAGAAAGTTTATTCCTTTGAAATGTGTTGGAGGAAAGTTTTACGGGTACTGTGTGGACTGACAAGACAAATAAGTGACTTCTAGATCAAATCAAGTTTGAACTTTCCCTTGAAGCTAAAATGACTAAAATGAAGTTATTGTTCTTTGGTCATATCATGAGAAGACGACATACTAGAAAAGACAATAATGCCAATTAAAGTTGAAGGCGGTAGGAAAAGAAGACCCAAGCTGAGATGGATTGGCTAAGTCAAGGACACCATGGCCCTCAGTTTGCAAGACCTGAGCAAGGACATTTCTCTAGCCTCAGAGATCAGTTGACTTGCTTTCCTGCATTACTGGAAAGGGAAAGCTCCCATTTCTTAGCTTGCCCCACCCCTGTAATTCCTCACAGAACCCCTGCTTGTAAATATTATTTTGGAATCTGTTGTTATTCAAAGTAGCATTCCTAATGGAAACATTTGCAAAGGTAAATTTTGAACAACCATTGTGTTGGGATCTCTGATATAAGCCTCTAGGAAGGTTTGCTAAGAGATCTCATTCTTTTCCTTGCTGAAACTTGTGTCTATTGTGTCTATTAGTGTATAGGAGGTGAAGTTAGGAAGAGGTTCTTTTGCAGAAATACTAGCGGGAAGAAGGTCTTTTGCAGAAATAGTGTTGACATACCTGGGTTATGTCAGTACTATTTCTTCAGGAGATCCTCTTCCAACATAACCTGGATACTATTGCTAAATTTTAAAGCTGCAACCCAGTTACAAGTTCTGCATTTAAAATGTGTCGAACATGTAAAAAAAAAAAAAGCTGTGTTTAATTGACCAGAAAAGTTTGTGAATTTGGATCTTCATGTAAGAAGCAAATAATCTTGTGTGTGCTATTTAGCAGGAATTGCATTCATGAAGGGTTGGCCATAACCTAGAATGAGAG